GGGGGGGGGCGGGGGGGGGCTCCCCACACACCCTGGCAGGATGCAGGGTACTGTGGATCAGGACTAAGGGGCAACAGCATGGCTGGGGGCTGTGGCTTGGGAGTGAAGGGCAGACAGACGCACTCCACACAAACATGCAGACAGGTCGGGTTGCAGGCTGTCACAGAGGTAGGGGCGGGGGGCACTGCTCCCCGCTACTGTTCACAACCCCAGGAAAGGCATGAGGGGCACATGGCCCTGCATTTGTGTGCAGGTGGCCACATGATGCCATGTGCGCCTCCTGCTGCCTGCCAGGAGCAAAATGGTGACTGGAACATAGGATCCCTCCATCTGTTGATGAAAATTTGCATTGCTCTGAGCGTCTTCCACCTCTACAACAGACTCAATGATTTGCTGCTTCAATGAGATTCTTTTCTTTTGTGAAAACTGAGACTGAACAGTTGGAACAAGAGTCTAAAAAGGGTCATTTAAATTCCGCATAGAGCATGTTTCTGTGAATCCCTTTGTTCTCATTATGAGACAGAAAATCAGTTAATCCAGCACTACCAGTTTAGCTCTTCCTTTTTATTCATTTGCCCAAGTCTTACATTCTCTGTTGTTAAATTCCCTGACTTCACTCTTGCCTCCCCCCACAGGTAGGCTTCTCATTCTTCTAACTGTTTTTGTTACTCTTATTCTCACCTTACACTTAGCCTTATTCTTGGACATAGTCCGCAGAGCCCAGGACCCTGGTGCTTGCTGCTACTTGCAGCTCTTGGACACCAGATCTTTCCCCCTTTTATTTCTCTGTCACTTTCATCAAAGTGGGTTCACCATAGTCTTTTCCCAAACATCATAACCTTTCTCTGATTAAAAAAAAATCCCCCATTTTTGGTTTAAAAAAAAAAAAAGCCCCAAATCCACATTTTTCCATGTTTGAAATGAAACACCATTCATTTCTCTCTCTCTCTCTCTCTCTAGATACAGTAGTATTTCATTTTAATCATAGAAAAATGTGGATTTGGAATTACTTATTTTAAACTAAAAATTGGGGATTTTTTAAATCGGAGAAAACCGGGATCTCTGGTGATAAAACAGCCAAAAAGGATCTTTTATTCTGAATTCTAGTTAAGCATGGCTATGAAGCAGGCTTGCTAGCAATACCATCCCTCAGGTTAAGGCCTGCAGAATATATTGGGGTCTGGACAGAGGCTCATTTGTAACACCACAAATTATGAGGCACTGGATAGCACTACAAACATGAAGCACTATGGGAGTGTGCACACATGGGGCACTGGTGGAAGCACTATGAAGTTGCCTCATAGGCACGTTTTACAGCGAGTGGACAGCAAGAAGCTGCTCATTTTGTTCCTTCTGGCTCTAAGGCAGCTTCCAAGTAAACTTGATCACTGACAATCTGCCCTCTCCTGCCAGGGAAGGGATCCAGGCAGCTGCTTCTGCCTGCTGGTCACTGATAGCCTGCCCAGTCCCTCTTCCATAGCAGAGGAGAGGGCAGGTGGTTTCACAGCATCTCATTCCCCTCTTGGGAAGGGAGGTGAGCAGAGCCCCATGTTGCGGTGGAACAGCAGAAGCAGAGAAAGCTGCCTGCAGGAAATGCATGACAGCAGCATCAACTCGAGGTAGCCCCCTCTGCCGCTACCATGGATGCACTAGCTGTTGCCAGTGCTCTTGTGGGGATGGGGGTGGCAGCAGCTGTTTCTGTTATTTCAGCACTGGTGTTTCTGCAGTAGTAGCCACAACAGGGTACCAGCACGGCTTCCTGAGAGCAGACTGGACAGGCTGTCAGGGAGTCAGCCAGATTCCCTTCCTCTCCCCTTGCAGGGGGAAGGGGAGGAGAGGAGAGGATGGTGAGATGCTGGGGGTCCAAAAGATTGCCTTCGCTTGACGCAAGCAAAAAGATTAATGTAGGGTATCCTTATGGGCAAATGAATCTTTCTGTACTATTAGCCAGGAGCATGTGCTGTCATTAAAATTAGATCCATCTATGCAAGTCAAGTGTGTATACAGATGGCTTCAGTCATCAACCAGATGTGCTATCTGTGTTGCTGTGCAAGTAGACTTGGCAGGATTCAATTTTTATCAATAGGGATTGATAAACATAGATTCCACCTGACGCTTACAGATTGATGGAAAATATTTCCCTTGGTAATCATCAAAATTTACCTAAAGGACATGTTAAAAAAATTGGGGATAGGGGGTGAGGCAATCCATGGCAGGGGGCACTGTGCATGCATGTACACACACACACACACTGCAAGAGCTGGGGGCCATGCTGGTAAGGCTATGTTGAGAGCAGGGATTGGAGAGGCAGAGGGCTGGTAGCAGCAGGGAGCCCAGTCTGGCTGGCTGCTTGGTCTGCCGAAGTGCCATTTGGGGCAAAAGCCAAATTCCTGCAGTGCCTGGCCTGGCCTGGCCTGGCCTGGCCTCTATGGGAATTTGATACCTGCCCCATTCATGCAGAGGTAGTGCCGGGCTGGGCCAGGCCAGGCTGGGCTCCATGGGAGTCTGGCCCTTGCATGATTGGGGCAGCGGTCAAATTCCCGTGGAGCTCAATCCAGCCCAGTACTGGCTCCTGTATGATCAGGGTAGGGGCCAAACTCCTGCGGAGGCAATGCTGGGCTGGGCTCTACAGGAGTTTGGCCCCTGCCCTGGCTGGGCCCTGGGCAAAGCAAGGGGCCAGCAGCACTGGCACTGGTTCCCAGGCACTACCAGTCCTGCTTCTCCAATGCCCCCTCTCAGCCCAGCCTTATCAGCACATCTTGCAGCTCCTGCAGTGGCTGCCGTGTGTGCGCGTGCAGGTACTAGATTGATAAAAATCGAAAAACACCCAAAATTTTGGGCAACCCAAAACATTTAAATTGATAAAAATAAATGCTTAAAAATAAACACAAATTTTAGCCATCAATTTTTTAAAAAAGAAATCGAATTCTGCCAAGCCTATGTACCAGCTTGTCAGTTAAATCAGAGATAGGCCTCTTCATTAAATTGGCCAGCAGAGACTGCATCATATAATTGTCATGTGATGCTAAGTCAGTATTTCAAAAAGACACTTCTAACTCTACTGACTCCCAGTGGAGCAATAGGGGAGAAAGGTAAGGAACTGTATTTCTTCATTTCTACTGACTTGCAGGATGCTGGCTTGTATACTACTTTCCTCATGTCACTTGAGGGTCTAAGTATAACTGGCTTGTCCCATAAAAGCACCATTGAAAGGAAATTCCCAACAGTAGTCTTGAGAAGTGAAGTAGGACCTTCTTTAGCTCCAGAGATGGTAATGAACTGGAGCATGAGGCTGCACTCCAGCTTCTGCTATGTGAGGTTTCCTGGTAATCCAGGTTTCTATGTACATGAGCTTTGGTCTTCTGGCTCTTTGTCAAGCTGAATTTTGCTCTGAAAATCTTAAATTGTTTATGCCAACGTCTGACAAAGACCATACTTTAAATATAACCTTGTTTTCCTCAAATCTGATAGATACACATGCACGCTTGCAAGTGCTTCTATTACTATACATTTGTCTTTGTTAAATGATGCAAGACCCCATTTAATTCTATTGAATCAATCTATGGAGAGCCTTAAGATTGCTCTTCCCTTGCATCTATAACAACATTTTTAGAGGCTGAACAACATTATATATTATATAGAAATTTGCCTCAGCTTTGAAGTACCTCATAAATTAATGTTTAATTGAACTGTTTTCCTTGAGGTTTTTCTCTGTACTTGCTAACTGGCTGAACACCAACATGAGCTGTGGTTATTTCATCTTCCAGATGAAATACAACTCTGTTGTATTAAAAGAATAGGTATTCCCCTGTCCTGCAAGTTAATGTTATTTCTCTCAGTGCTGTTGTTTCCTTTTCCTATGTTACAAAAAAAAATTCCAAACAAAATAAAAACCAACAGTTTAATGGGTTGATCATTTAGAGAACAGGCTTCCATGGGATTAAGTGATAAAAAATAAACTAAACTGTT